GACAGGGGAAGGGAGAGGGACAGGGGATGGGAGAGGGGCAGGGGAGGGGAGAGGGACAGGGGAGGGAAAAGGGACAGGGGAGGGAAAAGGGACAGGGGAGGGGAGAGGGACAGGGGAAGGGAGAGGGACAGGGGAAGGGAGAGGGACAGGGGAGGGGAGAGGGAGAGGGGAAGGGAGATGGACAAGGGAGGGGAGAGGGACAGGGGAGGGAAAAGAAAAAGGACAGGGGAGGGAAAAGGGAGAGGGACAGGGGAAGGAAGAGGGACAGGGGAGGGGAGAGGGAGAGGGGAAGGGAGATGGACAAGGGAGGGGAGAGGGACAGGGGAAGGGAGAGGGACAGGGGAAGGGAGAGGGACAGGGGAAGGGAGAGGGAGAGGGAGAGGGACAGGAGAGGGGAGAGGGACAGGGGAGGGAAAAGGGACAGGGGAAGGGAGAGGGAGAGGGACAGGGGAGGGAAAGGGACAGGGGAAGGGAGAGGGACAGGGGAAGGGAGAGGGAGAGGGACAGGGGAAGGGAGAGGAACAGGGGAAGGGAGAGGGACAGGGGAGGGGAAAAGAACTCGGGGACACGGGAAGGGGAAGATCCTTTTTTTCCTTACCCCCCTCTACCCCAGCTTCCTTTTCTCTGAACTTTGCTGCTCTTCCTCCTCCTTCTCCTCTCTCTTTCCCACTAACTCACCCTTGCCGCTCTTCCACCTCCTCCTCCATCTCTCTCCCTCTCACTCATTCATCCTTGCTGCTCTTCCTCCTCCTCCTCCTCTCTCTCTTTCTCCCCCACTCACTCAATCTTGCTGCTCTTCCTCCTCCTCCTCTTTCTCTCCCTTCTATCTGTCTCTCTGTCTCTCTCTTTCTCTTTCTCTCTCTCTCTCTCTCACACACACACACACACACACACACACACTTTTAGCATTTTTAAGGTATCTTTTTGATACTCATTTTATGCCATAAATATATGTATTCACACTTCCTTTAACTTTTATTATTTTCATATGTTATTTTTTAAGACTGAAAGTTTACCTGTTCCTGTATAATACTTGAATTTCAAATAATTCTTGAAAGGAAGTTCATGTTCACATTGTCTCTCCTCCCGCCTCTATAAGGGGGTCATTTTGTCTAAATAAAGAGTGTCAAGGCGAACGTGTGTTTGTGTGCAACGCCCAATGGATCCTACAGTGATATGCCGACGGAATGGAACGATGAATCTTGCATCTGAGCCTTATTTTTGCCAGTGTTAGGAGAAGCTGGACATGCTAATTTCAGTTTTTAATGTGCAATGCTATATATAAAAGAACCTATCTTACTACTACCTCAGACACCCCATTCATCTTATAAGGAATTATTTCTCCTCTCACGGACACCTTACACCCCTCTCCCTCCGTCAGTAACAATAATAATGATAATAAGAATAGCAATAAATAGAGAAAAGGATGATAATCATAATAATAATAATCGATAATACCGATAATAATGATAATATGATTATGATAATGAATGAAAAATATCGACCCCTTCGCCGCACAGGCACATGAAAAGTCATTACTTACGCGGTGTCACACGGCCGTGTCTTGTCGCTTACCCTTTCCAAATTGTCGGTCTTTTTCGTCTTTTCACGCCAGGTCTCCGAGAGAAGCTAATAAAATTATATTATAGTTTCTGCACTGGAAATTCTGAATAAGTCGTAAAAGTAGCCTTACATTTTATGCAAGACCGATCCAGCCGCTTTCAGAATTATTAATAACGAATGGGAATCTCATTAGGACTGAAATTATGTAGAATCGGTTCTTAATATTCTGAGATAAGGTGATAAAAATATTTTGTAATTACGCTGCACAGAATCATACAAATAGCAATTTGCTTGACATTGTTTACACTTGTCCCTCCCGAAAGCCTGAAAAATGCAAAGATATTGGAAATGGCCTAAAAATACGGAGGAAGTTTTCCTATTTTACAAGTGATTTCGGAAACGGGTTCCGAGCAAGTGGAACGGATGTGAATCTCCCTTGCCGCACGTGGAGCGATGCGAAGGAAAGGAACATCACGAAAGGAACCTTAGCTTTTCTCTCTTCCCTCTGCTTTTTGTTTGATTTCTATTTCCCTTTCTAGCTCTTCCACTTTCTTTCGCATGCTCAGGATGCTCGATTTTTACATCAGCTCGGAACTGGAACTAAGCTCATGACCTGCCCCTGTGTGTGGCAGCTCACCTGCAAAGGCAGGCATGATGGGCGCTGCTGTGAGGCTGAGGCATCCGGCACCTTTCTGCACGCCTCATCCTGGCTCCTCGGCTGGCGGTCGCCTCGAAGGAACTGCTGAGCCAGCTGAGCTTTCGCTAACCTCAATGAAATCAACTGAACATACACAGACACACACACCCTACACGTGTATATATAAACACATATATATACATACATATATTATATATATATATATATACATACATATATTATATATATATATATATATATATATATATATATATATATATATATACACATATACATATACATACATATATTATATATACATACATATATTATATATATATATATATATATATATATATATATATATATATATATACACATATACATATACACACACACACACACATATATACACATATACATATACACACACACACACACACACACACACACATATATATATATGTATATATATATATATATATATATATATATATATATATATATTTATACACATATATACACATATATACATATATATACATATATATACATATATATACATATATATACATATATATACATATATATACATATATATACATATATATACATATATATACATACATATATATACATATACATATATATACATACATATACATATATATACATACATATATATATATATATACATACATATATATATAAATATATATACATATATATATATATATATATATATATATATATATATATATATACATATATATATATATATATATATATATATATATATATATATATATATACACATATATATATATATATATGTATATATATATATGTATATATATATATGTATATATATATATGTATATATATATATATATGTATATATATATATGTATATATATATATATATACATATATATATATACATATATATATATACATATATATATATACATATATATATATACATATATATATATACATATATATATATACATATATATATATATATATATATATATATATATATATATATATATACATATATATATATATATATATATATATATATATATATATAT